CAAGCATGCATATGTTATATGCAATCTAAGGAGCAGTGGATTCACGTTTTGTTGGTCCGGGCCTGCAGCAAAGTCTCATGTTCTTAGATGATCAATTGTTTTTTCGAAATTTCAATTCGGAGTTTCATTCATTCTCAATTCGCTTCAAAAAAAAACCCGGTTTTCAAGTGAGAAATTCGTCGTTCTACTTTGTACAATATAGGAGCATGTCTTTTTTTTGCTAAATTTCACATAGAGTTTAGCGATCACAATAACATTTTCTGTTGATTTTTATTTCATTCTCTGCTAGAGAAATGTAAACGAAATTTCAAAGTTCGCCCTCTATCCAAATTTACCATGATATAAGTCAATTATAAGCATTTGACTTACAGAAACGGACATATGTAGGATTTCAAAGAAAGACTTCGAGTCATCTTTGTTAATCAAATTTCGATTTTTATTCTATTAAACAACTTGGTTATTTTGTTTTGTTTATCTTTCATTTCTATAGGATCTTGCTTTACAATCCGATAAAGTTAATACATCAATACAACGTTCATTAAAAGAAACCATTGAAACTCTTAATCATCATATACAAGATTTACAATTAGATAAAACACGTTTACAATCTGATTTTCAACAAGCAACATTACGTATAGAATCATTACAAAATGATAATCTTAAACAACGTCAATTAAATGAACAAATAGAAAATGATCGTTTATTAACAATAAATTCTTGTCAACATTTTCAACAAACAAATGAACAATTAATAAATGATCATGATCAATTACAAAAACTTTATACAAAACTTGAAAATGAATTTGACACAACATTAAATCAATTAACTGAACAACGTACAACAAATCGTATGTTAACAAAAGAATGTAAATATTTACAAATTGAATTAGATACAATAGTTAAAGAAAAACAAAATTTATTAAATCGTATTACTTATTTATTGAAACAAATTCATCAATATGAAACAAAATTATCTGAACAAAAACCATTTGATGAACAGTATTTATTATTACAAAAACAATATCAAATACGTACAGATGATTTACAAGATACATTAAATTTAAATGAAAATTTAAAACAACAATTAGATGAAATTAAATTAGAATTAAGTAAATCAAGAAGTGATTTAGCTACAATACAAATGAAATATACTAATATTAATGCTGAATATGCTAATTTAATAACAAAATATGAAGTTTGTTTTTGTTTTATTTATTTATTCGAATAAAAATTTTTATTTTTAAGTTTCTTGAACAACAAACTGAACGAACAGAAGAAGAAAAAAGTCAATTAATTGAACAATTACATAATCTTGTACAACAAAATCAAAATGTTCTTACACAAGCATTAAGTAATAAAGATTTATTTCATGAAGAAGCTCGAAGTTATTTGTATGTATTCAAAAAAAGCAAATAATGATAAAAATAATTAAGAAAAATTCATTCGTTTTTATTTATTAGAGAACAACTTCATTCATTAATGAGACAAAAAGAATTACTTGAAATGAAAATTATGGAACAATATAAAAATATGCCAATACATAAACCAAGACGGTAAACAAAATATTCAAGTTTTTTACTATTTGAATTTTTTGAATTTCTCATCGAGAATACAATTTTAGATAAAAGTAGTTGCCGTTCACAAAAAAATGCTATTATTTATTTAGGATATTGGAATAATATTTTGGATATATGCGTGCGAAAAATAAATTTTTGATCACCTAGCATTAATCTTTTCTTCATCGATTTAGATATACTGAAATAATGATTTAAATATTCATATTTCTTTTGAAATTCTCTTATTTCACCTTAGTTGACATTGAATTTTTTTTCAATCTATCATTCGAAAACTCAATGTCGCAGCCAGCTAGCTATTTAAATTTTGTTAGAAATCACTTTAAGATGGTTCAAATATTGTTTTCTCATAAAGAACGTTTGTCGCAAAATATTAATTTTTAGTAAGATAGATATTTTCAACGATGGTTTCATACGATGGATTTGAAAATTTTAGCACAAATTTCCTGTGAGCAAACAAGTCTGTCCTGAAAATATCAGTGTTGCGGTACTGAACAAAAGTCGAGTTAATGCTACGACATTGTTTCACTATCTCAGGACGTTCTCACTACTTAGGTCTTGATTGTCGATGCTATTAAGATACGATTCGACAGGATCCGAGTTTGAAAATTTTCGACTCAACGGACGCTACTCTAGCCGAAGAGACAACTACTTTTGTCTACGAGACCGAAATACTTTCTAATGTTAAACTTTCGTTTCATTAGCATAAAATTAACTTGAATACGATATTAATTTGTTTTAAACTAGATCTCGTGGTCTTATTCAATCAGTTTCACGAAAAACTCGTAATATTCTCGATCGTTTGGCTAATCGTCGAACACGTACATCATCAGCTGATGGACAACTTTATCTTGGTGATTCAATTGAACGTGCAATAAGTCCATCATTATCTTCAGTTGATAATACAGCTACACCAGTATCTCTTGCACGATCAACAAGTAGATAAATAATTTAATAAAATTGAATATTTATCTTTATATAAATAATTTTTAGCACCAGATGTTATATCATCAAGTTTAACATCAGCACGTCAATATCAACCATCAACTTCTGAAATATTTCACAATCAACAAGGTATAAAGACGAAAGAAAAAGATAACTTTCATCTGATATTTTTCTTCATAGAAACTAATCATCTGCATCAATCAACAGATAGTCTAGCTGATTCATCATCAAAAGGTATTAATCAATTGTTAAAAGATAAAATATTAAATATCATTTTTTATTTTATAGAAGAAGAAGAATCTCGAATAATTGATGATTCAGCAGCTATGACTAAATCATCAACGTAAGTCAATTTTAAAAAAATTACACAAAAATATTCATTTATATCTTTTTTTCTTTCAGTCCAATTCGTGTTACATTACAAACAAAAGCACCGGAATTTGTAGGTTTAAATATTCTTTGATTGGTTTTATTAAACATAAAAAAAAAAAAAACATTTCTTCTAGATTTTAAACAATCATCGTCAATCACCATTTCGTCCAATTCGAGATTCACCAGGTAAATTTATTCATCAAATTTTTCATTATTTTTATTTTCTATAAAATAAATCATAAAGGAATATTAATTATGTAAGTAAGAAAAAAAAAAATCATATGCATGTCAATAAATTTCGCACATTAATTTCATAGCAACAGAAAGTAATGAGACAAAAACAACAAACTCAAATCAAAATTTCTAAAAAACGACAATGATTGAATTTTAAGTTGAACTATCTATAATTCATTCTATATAGCACATAACAACTAAAGTTTTATTTTCATCACGAATTAGAGTCCATTCATAAGGTGATGATTGTTTTATTGTATATTCAAGGTCTTCAACATTCTCTTCATGATATATCATCTCCTACAGTAAATCAACGTCGATGTTCATCAACTCAATCATTTCTTATACATCCAAATCAAAATAATACTAATAATATTCATAGTTCAATGCGTCGACATCGTTTACGTCCATCCATAATTACTTCACCTATTTTATTAAAAGAACAACAATTATCCGAACAACAACAATCATCATTTAGTGATCATGTTCTTATTACAGAATTTGGTGCCATTTAGAAAAGAAAAAAAAATTCGAATTCTTATTTTTATGTATATACATGTTTATTTGCATTTTGTTATTGCATTTGTTTTGCCTTTTTTTTTTTCAAATTGATAATATTGTCAGATGTAATTAGAATTAAACCAATTGGGTTTATTTTGTATTATATTCTATATTATCACTTTCTTACTTTTTTTTTTTTTATAGTCTCGTAGTATTTGCTCAATAAAAATTGCGCATGATTTTGTTTTCCACTATAACAACAAAAAGAAAACATGTTCAAGATTTTTTTTTTTTAATAGAAGAATATGAAAATCAAACGATTTCATTAGATCATGAAATGTATTCGATATTACTGATACATGTTAATTATAAATATAAATTGTATTTCAACATAAGATAAAAGATGTAATACAAGAGAATATAGTTGATTAGTTAAAATCAATGTCTAAAAGTCAAGAGGAAAAAAGAGCAAGAATTTCGTAGTTCAATGATATACCAAAGCAATCATCTAGAACATTTTAGTTATTTCAAATCTAATATCAGCATATATCCTTAGCATATTAGTGTGAGTTTATTTTATATAAGTTTGTATGACACTAAAGATCAACTACATCATTGTACTTTACTAATACTTAAATCTAAAAAGTATTTAGGTTATATTGTCAGATAGAATTATATAAAATGAACTCAAACTAATATCTTCCTCTTTAGTAAAACCTTATATAAATTAATAAAATTATATTTTATAAAAGATATCATTTCTTTATAAAGTTGTTAGATGTTATCTAACTCAGTAAGTTTTAATGTTTCATACAGACCATTTGAAATGAAATTTGATGAATATATGTTATTTATTTTTTATTTTTACAAATTTGTACAAAATAAAAACATCATATTATGAAAACGTAAGAATATTAAGCGCTTTATTCTGTCACTAAGACTATTTTATAGCAACAAAATTCGTTCATTTTATATACATTTATTCATTCATCTGAATGAATCCTCTGTTTAACAATTAAGTTTCTGTTCATATTATTCAATGTCTTAACTTATTTCTCTTCCTAATTTAATATCATCATTGTATCTTCTATTATCTATTAAAATGTCGTCGTGGACATTTTTTCTTATATTCTCTATTCTGTTAGTATATTATTTAAAAATAGTCATTGTAGTCAATGCATTACCCAATACAACCGACAACGATATCGACAAAATGGGTAACGAAAGAAAAAAACGAAACAAAATAAAAGTTATTTAAATAGTATATATTGAAGATGTAACAGCACTTCCAATTTATGATATTTTTGCTGAAAATCTCTCAACAGCTCCGGTTTATATAGAAAATCATACACAAAAAGGTATATAAAAATATTGATGATAATAACGATAATATTTAAAATTTATTCATCAGATACATATGAAATATACACTACAAGTGTATCATCACTTCCAATTGACAATATCGACTCTGAAAATCCAACAACAGTTCTGCTTCAGTCAGAAAGTCATCCATACGAAAGTAAGTAAGAATATCAAAAAACATATTGATGATTACTGAAAAATACACTATGTTTAGATATAGAATCTACAGAATATCTATCGACACTTTCAACACACAGTGCAGACTTTGAAAATGAAGAAACAACAATACTAACTGATGAAATATATTATACACAACAAGGTTAGCAAGACTATGAAGGAACACAATAATAATAAGTTGATAATTTATTATTTATTAATATAGAATCTACTAAAATAACAGCGACAGTTTCACAAAAAATTCCAGAATTCAAAAACAAAGAAACAACAGCATCCACTCTTGAATTATATTATGCACAAGACGGTTAGTTAGGATACGAAGAAGTACAATACTAATAAGTTGATAATATACTATTTATTAACACAGAATCCACTGAACCAGTAGCCACGATTTTAGAACAAAGTGTCGAGTTCGAAAATGAAGAAACAACTGTACCGATCCATGAAGAGATTAGTGAAGCAACACGTAAGTAAGAGTATTAAGAAAAGAGTTGACGATGTGTTTATAAACAAGTCAAAAAAGCAAGCTTAAACACTGCATCTGTTTTCAGTCTATTTAAAAAAAAAATATTCGTGTTTACCTACAACATATTTTTCAACTCATCTTCATTCATACACAATGATGACGTATTTGAGGACAGTCATCTGTGGAAGGAAAAAAGTTGAATCATAGAATTCCAAATCCTACGAATTCCATCAAATTTCAGGATTCCAAAGTTTTGTGTAATTTATCATTTGACCATCTACTGACAATAGAGTTACCTTCAAAACTTGTACGTGCATATACCGATGATCCAATAAGTGAACTACATGTACGTATGATAACAACTATTATAGAATTTGAAAAAAGTGAGAACAAATTTTTTGAGATAATATTGGTTCGTTCTACAAGATCAAATGCATTTTAACGATAAAGTCAATAATAACATGTCGATGTAATAACTATACTCTTGCATAAACCAATATTTATACAACAAAATAGTAAATTTTTGTCTGAAACCTCAGAATCAACACAATGATGGTTTTCGTAAATATGATTATTGTAGCATTGACTTGCAGGATTTTACAAACTTGTTTTTATTATATGAGTAGATGCTGATGATACTTAAACCTTTCAATACAAGCGTAGTATATGCGAATAACGCAAAGATAAGAATTGTATATAACCTCATTCGTTGTTTTTTTTCCTGAAAAACTGGACAAATTGTGTTCGGATGCATGCATGCTTTGGAGTTACACATTGATATACCTGTATTGCTGTCTTATATCTCTTCTGAAAAGTCCCAATTGTTTCAAATAACTTGCATGATTGTGTATGAATGAAAATGGCTTGAAAAATATCTAGTAGGCAAACGCGACTGTGTTCTTTTTAAATAAGCCGCACATACATACGATGCATAAGCTTTTATGCTTGCTATGGATTATGAGAAAAGAATTAAGTTCAACGTAGAAAATTGGCAATATTTAAAAAAAGAAGTATGTGTTACATAAGAAACAAATATCGTAAAATGACAGAAGTTTGTTAAAGAAAAGGTTGAAATAAGAAATCAAAATGTAGGAAGATGAAAAATAGGGAAAATTATTAGTTCATTAGAGAAATATATAAAAATCAATACAAAAAAAAAGTGTATGGATTTATTATTATTCTACTATTTAATATGTTTTTCTTCAATTTTCTAATGCTAATCGATCACAACAATCTTCGTTAAAATACAACATGTTAGAAAAATAATTAACATCAATTGTAAAATTGTTAATCGAGTTATGGTTAAATCTTGTTGCTGTAATCTTTATAATAAAAATTGATTTAACTACAGAACATTGAAGTCATTCGAAAGATTCGATCAATCGTTGACTTGAAAATATCTTTGATTCGCGTGTTATATCAGATTAAATGATAAAGAAAGATTTTTCAATGGAAATATTCTATCTTGTTGGTTCAGTGTTGTGAATAATCAATTTGAAGTCGTTATTAGAAAGAGTTCATGTCGAGATAAGCATCTTAAGAAAAATAGAATAAGAGAAAAAAGACGTCATAATTAATTATATTTCATGTATTGAAAACTAAACTTCGTTGAGTAAACATTAAAACAAAATTAGAAAAAGAATCTTTTTAAAAAATAGATAAGAAAAATATAGATTTCATTTTTTTTCTGACAGATGTATCAAACATATAAAATATTTTTCTTGTGTTCTTTTAGACCTATTGCAAGATTTCCAAAAGATGCTCAAGATTGATATTGAAGCTATCACAAAACAATTCAATCCATTTGTATCAATAAGTTTCCAACCTGTTTTCAAGGAACATCAACGACGTGCTAAGGCATTTCTATCATGTTGTCAATGGAATATAAGATCAGATGAAATACTATTAAAAACATATGTCGATGCGTATGGTTTATTGGATGAACAAATGAAAATAATCAAAGATTGTGCTGATAGATTGATAGGTTATAATAAGTCAGACTGTGACTTTGACTTACAACTACTAGAAAAAGCTCGACAATTAATCAAGGTGTAAGTCAACTTAAAGCATCATCTAAATGTGAAAACATCTATTTTTGAATACCATAATAATAAACTTTATTCTGTAGCATTTTTTGTGAAACACTCCCTATAAGGGATCGTTGAAGTATAGGGGGTCAAAAATTGGATCCATCCCCTTCCTCCCTATCGACTGTGACAAATATTGATATAAGATCACATATTGTATATGAGTAAACTCCTTGTGATTCGTAACAATAGCTACATCGTATTTCGTATATTAATCTCGCCAGGGTTTCTCTAACAGGTTTTTTTTTCTTATTTGAAGGAAAATTCTAAATATGGGTTTCTTCTCTCTAATAGATTTACCGATTTATATTCGGAAAACAATACAATAAATGATAATAGTGGAATTCAATTGTTAGATCAAGCAATTCTACAATCCATCGATGTAAAAAATATCGTTTATGATTATGATACTACAATAGAAGATTCTTGTGGTTCTGCTCTTATTCTATTATGGAAACCATATCAATTAATCGATTGTGAAATATATTATCGTTCATTATTTGCTAATAATTTATTGTTCTATGAAAATTATAATAAATTTAAAACAGAAATAAGTCAACCATTTCAACAGAAAGCTTTAAGTTTAATGGTACCTGTTAAAGTATGAGCATATTTTATCTAAGATAATTATTGCATTTCATATTAAATATATCTAAATAATATTTCATATCATCATACGAAATTTCATATTTAATCTCTTCACTTATTAAATTTAAAGAAAAACTCAATAAAAATAAACAAAATGAATTTCTTTTAGAATGCTTGGAATAAAGTAGCTGATCAAGTAAAAAAAAATATTCAAGCAAAACTTGACAATAAGCCTGTACAACAAGATCAAATTGAAAAAGATATAAATCAAATTAAAAATAGATTATCATATTATATAACTAAACTTGATCATCCAATGATTTTACATCATGCAAAAAGTGCACATACTTATAAAGTTTGCTGTACCTCGATAAAAACGTCTGATACCTTCAATGAATATTTAGCTTATTTTGATCATGATCCTAATCAAGACCGTTCTATGGATAAATTCTTACATTCTTGGTTTGTTATTATATCCTTTTATCTATAAGATTTATCAAAAAATGAGTTGATTTGTTTTTTTTTTTGTTATAGTGTTCAACATCAAGCTTTCGAACCAATAGATGTTATGATAGAAAATAATGAATGTAATATAACTTATAATGAATTTCTAGATGCTATGAAAAAACGACAAGAGTAAGCAGCATAAGATGTTTTATTTTGTAAATATTTTCTTAAATAAAAAATATTCTTTACTTTTTAGTTTTATTGATAAATATAAAAAACAAAATCCATCCATGGTTATTAAATTTCAAGAAGCTATTCGTTTTAAAATTGGTCAAATAGATATCATACGAACAATGGCAGATTATGTTGATCAATATTGTCAAGATCAGCATATATTTGAACTTATGTTTGATGCTCGTAAAACAATTAATTGTGAAAAATTAGTTCGTCATGCTATTGGGAAAGAAAATTATAAAAAATATTCATATTATAATATATCAATAAGTTATTCATTTCAATATATGATACTTGAAGATTGGGATAAACTTGCACAAGCAATAACTTCTATAAAAACAGATGATGAAAAAAAACCTGCAGCCATCGTTCATGTAAGATTCGATGAAATTAATTTCAATATAATGAAAAATATGTTGTTTTTTTCTTTTCTTATAAAAATTATAGAATTCATCAAACTTATATAGGTAAAAATGTGTTTTTCTTCGTCGATCATTCTTCAGGGAGTACTCTATTCACTTTTGTTACTCAAAGTCTTTCTGGCTATGTATCCTAATGCAGAAACGTCCTTGTTTAGATGGAGATCCTTAGGGAAATTAATTTCAAAATATCTTTGACAATATAAGATAAAACGAGATGCATTTCAAGTATTATTTCCATGGTTTTAAATATTTGATCTACTATGTCTCAACAATCATAATGAATGTAGATAGAAAACTGTAAATGTATTTATTCCATCGATAATTTGCCTTTGTTGTAACACCCTGAATCTGATTTCTATTTATTCTTGCTTTGAATTTCATAAATCTATTAGAAGGAAAACAGTTTATGGATTAATCAGTCTTCCAACTCGAAAATAAATGTTGATATCTTTATTAATATAACATTTTCTAGACTATTGAAAAACCGGCTTTTTTTTAAGCAAAAAAGTGATTTGGATAGAAAGGAGTACTTATCAAAATGTTTATAGTTTCGCTTAAGTAAAAAAACCACAGCTTAGTACGATATAAAGTTTTGTATAGAAATATTCGTTCGACAAAATAACCGACTCCATTATTGTTTGACATATTCGAAAAGGAATTTATACGAAAAAACTGAGATAAAAGTTCTTAGGACATATTTGGAACGGGCATCATAACTCATAGCTTTCGACTCATTGTAAACACTTTCAAAGGACTCAAAAATAAACAAATATTTTGTGTAAAACCTTTCAGTTTACTACGTTTGTATCATTTGTTTGTTTTGTTTTTGTTATATTTTAGTCAACATAGAAGTTCAAACAATAATGCTTCATCCATGACTATGATTGATTATCATTGTTTTCATATTTTCTTGATGTTTATGATACAAATTGTTTATTCTTAAAAATGATTTTCATCGTTTTCCTGTATTTTTCGATCAAGACATAATAAAAAAAAAACAAAAGAACAATTGTCTTTTTTGATTTGTTATTTTTTGAATTTTTTTCTATTGATTCTTTCGAATAAATATTTTAATTTTCTTTTTGTATTTTCCTCGAAAAAAAAAGTTTCATGAAAAAACTGCTCTATCGGTTTATTTAATATTGTTTAATAAAGAAAAAAAACAGCTGAAGATAATAATAGGTAAAGTGATATATATATATATATATATATATACTGTTCTGAGCAAAGAGAAAAAAGGAGAAACAAACAAAAGACTATTTGCATATAAAGGAGCTAATATGAAATTAATAACACAATTAATTTTTGCTGGTTTGTTTACGTGTTTTTGTTTTACTTGATACACTCCTTTGTGTTATGTCCGCTGTCGGCGGATAAGCGTTATGGTACTCGTTATGAGTGTCCTGTTGTTGTTGTTGCTCATCGTAACCTGGTTGTGACCAAGGTTCATACGCATGCCTAAATAAATAAAAACAAATGAATTAATAATCTTATACAACTAATACGACAATCATGGAATCACACACAAAAAAAACCAGGCAATGAAGAACCATGCTATTATTAGCTTACTCGCATCTTTCTCCCCAGAACTGTGGTGAACATTGACATACACTGATATCCTCTGCTATCTCACGACATACTCCACCATTGCTACACTGTTGATTATCTTTACATGATAAACCTATTTATTTAATTTTCATTTAAATATTTTATATATGTATATATATATTTGTTTTTATTTGAAATCGATTAAAAGTATAACTTACTAAATTGACATCGTGAACCAGACCAGCCTGTTGAACAATAGCATTGAATGCCTCGTCCATGATCAACTTCTTGACATATACCACGATTATTACATTGACTTGAAGAACATGTAGCTGCAGAACTTGGTGTTGTTGTAGGTGGTGGATAAGTATTCATTGTACCTAGAAAAGCATACATATATTCAAGATATTAAAAAATTATTTTTATCTACATACCACATGATGGTCGTTGAGATTGACAACGAGAACCACAATAAGGATATGGACATGAACAAACATAATCACCAAGTGGACGTTGAATACATTGACCTCCATTCATACAATCTTCACCGCTATCCATACAATTGAGTACTAAAAGAAGAAAAACATACGTTGAAAAAAAAGTGAAAATATTTCACATATTTCCAACACTTACTTTTTTCACATCGACTACCCGAATAATTAGGTGGACAGAAACAAATAAAACCTTGTGGATTGTATGGATCATTCTGACATGTACCACAAATACATGGATTTTTCACCCCGCAAATATCAACTAAAATTAAGCGAATTAATCATCATTCTTAGAATTTCATTCGACTGACTTTGTTCACAATTTCGTCCTTGAAAACCTGTACGACATTGACATACATATGAACCATCATCGGAACTAACACAAACACCCCTATTTTGGCATGGTTGGGCAGCACAAGAATCTTGATCTTCACATCGTTGACCACTAAATCCAGCAGGACATTGACAAGTAAATCCACCATTATTAGATGGATAGCATTGGCCACCATTCAAACATGGATTTTGAGCACATGGATCTCCTATACAAAATATAATATAATTAATTAGGCAAAAGAGAAATAATATCTCAGTCTATAGAAGTATGTAGTAGGCATACTAGTTTCACATCGTGGACCACTAAAACCCGAGGGACATGCACATTGATAGCCACCATTGCCGTTAACACGTTGACATGTACCACCATTCATGCATGGGTTACTTTGACATGCATCTTGTATTTCACATAGATTTCCTGAATATCCTAGCGGACATGTACAACGAAAACCACCATTTTCTCCAACACATGTGCCTTGATTCATGCATGGCTGCGAAGCACAAGGATCACCTAATAAAAGCAAAGCAATAATACATGCATTAGCTTAACGATGTGATATTCTTACGATCTTCACATCGTTGACCACTGAATCCATTAGGACATTGACAAGTAAATCCTCCAATATTAGTCGGAAGACATTGACCACCATTCAAGCATGGATTCTGAGTGCATGGGTCACCTACATGCTCATTCATTTCATTTCATTTCATTTTCATTCTTATCAAATACGAGCAACTTACGTATGGAACAATCATAGCCTGAATAACCGGGTGGACAGATGCATTGATACGAGTTACCATTGAGTGGTTGACAAGTGCCTCCATTTCGACATGGCTGATTCGCACATGGATCGATACCTCAAAAACCAAATTTTTATGACCAGAAAAAAAGGTGATATGGTTATATGAACTTACGATCTTCACAACGTTGGCCAGTAAAACCGTCTGGACAATTGCATGTGAATCCACCATAACCATTCGGTATACATTGACCTTCATTAAGACAAGGGTTTGTTGCACAAGGATCACCTAAAAGAAGCATCATATTAATTGAACACGAGAATGATCAAAGTTTCTTTTATATTTTGTTTTTCAACATAAAACTAAACAGAAAATCTCGTAACCACTGATTCTGTGTAATACACAGATATACTCGTAATCATTCTGCTCAAATTGAATACGAAAAAAAGAAAGCATCATGACATGCACATCTAAGTCATGCATTCTTCATGCTTATAATAGCTTACTTGTTTCACAATTTTGACCGACATAATTAGAAGGACAATCACATACATAGCTGCCTGCAGCTATATTAGATCGACAGCGACCACCATTTTGACACGGATTTGGAATACATGGATCACCTAAATAGAAATATTAATTACCTTGCGAAAATAATCATTATATATATATGTCACTTACGACTTTCACAATTTCTACCAGTATAACCAAATGGACAATTGCAAGAATATGTATCGAGACCATATGGACTGCATGTGCCGCCATTGACACATGGATTCGGTTCACAAACTTTACCTGAAATTAAATGAAATCAGGTTTTATCAATGTTATTTGTGTGTATTTTTTCATAGCTAGGACACATACGAAATTCGCAACGTTGTCCTTCATAGTCAGGCGGACAATTGCAATGAAAAACGCCGTTAGGACGAGGTTCACATGTACCGGCATTCGTGCAGGGATTAGGCGTGCAAACAAGGCCTACCATTATGCAAATTGAATATAACATGCTATATAATATGCTGTACAATGGTAACTTACGCTCGCATTGATTTCCAAAATATCCGAGATTACATTCACAATAAAAGCCACCAATATTTTGAATGCATTGTCCATTGCTACCACACGGGTTATTTATACATGGATTTGCTAGAACAAATGCAGTGTCATAACACAAGCAGAATATTTTATAGCATTCCATTAAACTCACAATCTTCACATCGTTGACCTGTATATGGAGGAACGCAAGCACATGTAAAACCTCCCAAGCTATTCAAAACACATTGACCACCATTCAAGCATGGATTTTGAGCACATGGATCTCCTATACAAGCAACAATATTAGGTACATATCCCTTATGCATCAATTTCTCAAGGATAAAAACATAAAGTAAGCGTACTAGTTTCACATTGCGGACCACTAAAATCCGAGCGACATATACATTGATAGCCACTATTGCCGTTAATAGGTTGACATGTACCACCATTCATGCATGGATTACTTTGACATGCATCTTGTATTTCACATAGATTTCCTGAATATCCTGGTGGACATGTACAACGAAAACCACCATTTTCTCTCACACACGTGCCTTGATTCATGCATGGCTGCAAAGCACAAGGATCACCTAGTAATACCGGAACATTAAAGCATGCAATAGCTTAACAATACAAAATTCTTACGATCTTCACATCGTTGACCACTAAATCCAGCAGGGCATTGACACATAAATCCACCACTATTAGATGGATAGCATTGGCCACCATTCAAACATGGATTTTGAGCACATGGATCCTCTATAAAAAAAAGAAATACAACATTATACAATGTTAAAAAAAGAAATAAATTTTCAATTTATGGAAGTAGGTAGTAAGCGTACTAGTTTCACATTGCAGACCACTGAACCCAGAGGGGCATATGCATTGATAGCCACTATTGCCGTTAATAGGTTGACATGTGCCACCATTCATGCATGGATTATTTTGACATGCATCTTGTATTTCACATAGGTTTCCTGAATATCCTGGTGAACATGTACAACGAAAACCACCATTTTCTCTCACACATGTGCCTTGATTCATGCATGGCTGCAAAGCACAAGGATCACCTAGTAATACCGGAACATTCAAGCATGCAACAGCTTAACAATACAAAATTCTTACGATCTTCACATCGTTGACCACTAAATCCAGCAGGGCATTGACACATAAATCCACCACTATTAGATGGATAGCATTGGCCACCATTCACGCACGGATTTTGAGCACATG